TTCTCGTTTGTAACCCCACTGCAAACTTCGAGCATCTAGGCTCAGTAATAAAGTCACCGGCCGACTCAAACTGGACGTAGGGCACGTTGCCTGAACCAGTATAAACCCTGTGTCATTGAGTGCTAGGCCACCTCCGATCACAACGTACGGCAAAATTACAAATATTTACTTGTTGGTCACTTTCTGCACCGACAGTTGGCGCCGTCCTTGGGGGGGACGCTATACGTTCAACACTTTTTGGTCATCGGATGGCCCACTTTTCCGCCACCTTCGCCATGGCAGGCTCAGGCGATATGATTTGCTTCGGCTCACTGGAGTTTCCCGCACTCCCACCAGTTGGGATGTGAGTTCCACCCATCTTCAAGCCATCCCAGGCCTTCCTCCTCGGAAGCCTGGACTTCATCACCGATCGGCTTGGCGTACTACGCCTCCGTGAGGAGGCACTCGCTCTGGCACCCATCGGAGGGGCACCCTCCATCGGCTCCGGGACATGCGACTACTTCAATGACGAGGCATCTACGCTTCATTTCGAGCAAACTCTCTCCTCCAACCTATTTCCTTGACCTCATGGATGACGATGTTGAGAGTGACGACTCCAGCATCGACGATATGGCGCCTAGCCACCGTCCATCCTGGGAGTGCGCTATGGCGGACGCTCTAGGATAGCCATCGGGGGTAGCAGAGTCCTCGCAGACTCACACCCCTCCGGACCCTCGTGCAGAGACCCCCGCGCTCTCATGGGAGCACGGCGAGGAACTATGACAATAGTTCCTGCACCAGCCACTGACTGCGCTAGCGCGCTCAGCGCACCACACTGTGCCCCGTGTGCATAGACTAGCGAGCAGCGCCCGGGGTCACGCCCGTCAGGTCCAGCGCAACACCATGGATAGGGGGAACGATCCGCCATAGTTCGCTTGGGCCAATCAGAACATCATCGTCGGGTCCAGCGCAACATCATGCTTCTACGCGGCCTTCTCGAGTCGAACGACCCTCAGGAACAGGCGATCCACCAAAACCTCTGGGCAGTAGTGGAGACCGTCGCCATTCAATAGGTGGAGAGCTCTGTATCATGGTACCGACTCACAGCCTCACTCCCCGCCAGGGGAACTAGGATGTAGCAGACGAGTCGCTCCACCCGCTCACTGCTGCAACCGCCAAGCACGGCACAAGAGGCTGCATCTACGCCTCATCTTGACTTGACGACCGCTCCGCACCGACCTCCTATACACGAGTGGCTCAGGCCGAACCGAGATGCTCACAGCAGCGACCGGAGTCCTAGCCCGGATGGCCTGGGACCATAGGCCTTTGACCAACGCATCCAGCGAGCGCTGCTCCCACAGTGCTCCAACGGAGGCTGAGGTAAAGACAAGGCCAAGCGCCTAGATCAGGACGAGGGCCCCTCCACATAGAGGGGGAAAAAGAACAAAAAAGATCACCGCCGACCGGCCAACTCCGCGTCGGTCGCCACGGCTGATCACAAGGGCAAACAGCCCAGCATGACCTTTTGGGCTACTTCCACGAGCTCATGGAGAGCCCATGCACCAACCACGCCTACCCCGTCAAACACTTCTACAAAGGACTGCAAGCTCCTCAAGCGCCTTCTACGATAGGCCGGCAGGCCAAAGGAAGAAAAAGGTGAAGAAGTTGCAGCCAAGAAAGGGGGTGAAGTGGGCAAGGATCCGGACGACTGAAGCTTGAGGTGATCCGACCGGACTCCTACCGACTGAAGGACAACAACAACGACATTCTCACCAATACTTGGAACAGCCATGTCATTTTCTTCCCCTAAAACCTAGTCTTACCATTGTTTACTTAGCGTTTGCTCCTACAAGAGCACCCCGACCCGAACACTTTTTGGCCCGGGTCGCTCGGGGGCTCCACGAGGGTGCACTACTACCTCTCTTTTTCGTTTACTATCATATGGTGAAACTCCTTCCTACCCGAACAAAAGGGTAGTTCGTTCCTTTAATTTGCCTTACGTAGCTTTGCTTTAAAATATTCCGACCGATCGCACCCCACCTCTACCTACGGTTACGAGTAGCTGAGCCTCACGGGCCATGCCTTGGGCTCCTAAGGTTGCAGCCTACAAGACGAATGGGCAAGTACAAGAAAGAAAGAATATAAAACAAAATTATGCTAAGGGAAAACTAAGGAACGAAAGGGACAAGCTTCCCCGAACGGAGTGACTCCATCACAAAAAATGAAACAGACTGTAGTCATTAAGTACACAAGAACGTTTACACGGGGGCTCCCCCATGAACTTAAACTTTTTACATGTACTAAACTACTTAATACTTTACAAACTATTGGGGCAGCTCGGTGGCATCTGCTGTCGGTACGACCGGCGAAGGCGCGGTCTGCTCACCCCCCGGTGGGACCACATTTGGCTCGGCTGAAGGCGGGGCAACGTCCACTTTCGACCCAGCTCGTGCCATCCACAGTGGGCAACGCCCTCCCGACGACGCTTCTAGCCATGTCTTCATGATGGACGTCCATCACCCACTGTGCAGAGACTTGCTCTGCCACCAACCTTGCGTGTGGCAGCAAGCTCTCCCCGAGCATTTGGATGTCCTTCGTGCTCAAGCCGTCAGTGTACTTGTTGCAGATAGTGGCGAAGTCCATGTTTGGGTGGTACGTCGCCACTGAGGTCAACACCCCCGACACTCCGTAGAATAGCCCACTGGTGATAAGATCCCGGACCACATCCGGGACCTCCGCCAACTAGACCATGGGCGCACTAGTAATTGGCGCTGACCCAAAGACCTCCGAGACGACGAGCTGGTCAACATTGTGGATCTGGTCAAGTTCCCCCTCGAGAGCACGTCGTTCTTCATGGGACTTGGCTAGCTCCTCTGCATTCTGGCTAAAAGTCACCTTGACCATCTCCAGGTCCCACTCCAACGACTTCACCTTTCCGCCCAGCTCTGAAAGAAGGGCGACAAGCTCAGAAACAAGCCGAAGGAAGAAACCAACACGACGAAAAACAGAAAAGGTATGTACCGACGCGGAAGTTCTCAAGGGTGGAGAACTCCTCCGCCATGCCGAGCCACCTGCTCACGTAGCCAGGCGCTCGCCCCCTCCGTCCCCATCACCCAGCCCCAAAGCGTGCGCACTTCCTGGTTTGCCTCCGACTGGGCCTTTCGTTCTGACTCCAGGGCCTTTCGCGCCAACTCCAGGGCGTTCCGCTCCGACACCAAGGCGCTCCACTCTGACTCAAGGGCCACCAAGGATTCTTGGAGCGCCACCTCGGTGTCCGCCAGGGATTTCCGCAACCCCGCCTCAATCTCCGCCTGGCGGGCCTTCACCGCCTCAAGACCCCGCTCGGCGGCAGTCGCCCGCTCCGCTGCACGCTGCTCCTCCGCCCGCACGATGGTCACCTTGGCCGCCCGGTCTTGGGACTCGCATCGGGCGTACTCTAGCTGACACTCAAGCTCAGCCACCCGGGCAAGCTCCATCCGGAGGAAGCGGGACTTGCAGGATGACATCTCTTTCGGACCCTACAAAAAGCAAGCAGGCTGAGGCAACCAACAAGAAAGTTAGAGGTCAAGGACAAATACAGGAAACTCACCTCCGCGGTGATCTGCAGGTCGACCTGGACTAACTGCTGGGCGGACTTAACCCGCTCCTAGGGGTCCTCGAGCTTTGTGGACAGGTTGGCGAGTTCGAACACCATGGCAAGTACTTTCCCCCCAAGGATGTCCCAGAGCTGACACTCTTGGGAATCTCGAAGGACATACTGCACCTTTGCCGGGTCCTCAGGGTAGGGCCACTCCAGGTCGCCCTCCGGCAGCCCACCAGAGGGCCCAACCTCCGATTGAACCACCGCCAGCTCCTGCGATGACACCGGCAGCTCCACCATGTCATTCGCCTCGTCATCCGATGGGATCTCCACCATCTCGGTTGTGCGGGCTGCCGCCGGGCATTCCGACTCTGTCCTGGCCGCATCTCCCCCCGACGCCTTTAGCTCTGACCATGAGGGTGAGCCGTGCAGCCCTCCACCCGGCGAGGCAGGGAGCTCGGCCTCCCTCTCCTCTTCCGCCGCAACTGGTGGAGGAGGGGCCGCGAGAGTTACCTCCAATGCGACCTCTGTCGTTGCCACCGGGGTCGCCGCCAATGCCACCGCCGCCGCTGCCACCGTACTAGCAACCGACCTGGGGGGCACCACCCCCAGAAGTGAAGGGCTCACCACCGCCACCCTATTCCCCCCACCGCTCGCCATGACGGGCTGCAGGGTGGGCCTCCAAACCTCCTGCATGGGAGTTGGGGCGATGCTCAACCCCGTCATCGCCCGGCCACTAACAAAAAAGTGCAGGTAAGTCATAGTCCAAAAAGACTCAACAACAAAAGATTGAAAAGAAACAAAGAAAAACATACCGGAAGGTAAGCGGCACGACTCTAAAGGCAAGACTTGACATCGACGGACCTACAGGGCAAGGATCACTCCCAGCTACGACACCGCCCCCTCACTTCACCGGGGTGAGTCATCCCAACAGCTCTCTGCCCACCCCACGGGTCACCGTGACCCTCGGCTCGGGACGTCCCGACCGAGCAAAGAAAGGGGAATCCTCCTACTGTGAATCGCGCGCTGACACCGGTCCCGGCGACGCAGGGTGCCGGCCCACTCCTCGGACCGCCCGACTTGCTCGGCCGCATCCGCGACAGGCGGGGACGAAACATGCTAATTGGTTGAGGAGTCATTTGTATGTTGTAATAAACATCTGAGGTTTGTTGGTTAGGTTTGATGATGCTTTTTCTTATGTTATCGTAGAAGATTTAATTTAATGCTTAATCTTGATGACATGTTTTTGCTTCCGCGTACTCTATTGCTATAGTGTAGTGTGGTAATTCTCTAGAGGATTGTTGTGTCTTCTTCTGGGGTGCTACAATCTTCAATACAGAGGGTGAGAGCGCTCGACGATGGGCAGCGGATCAATCTGGAATAGGTTGTTGATGTCTTGGAAGAAGTCATCCACTCACCGACACACAGGCGGTGGCGTGGACTATGCATCGAATGGGCACTCCTCGGGGCTACTAGTGCCCAAAGGGGGGAAGGAAGACACATATAGGGGCTCCTCGGGGATGCTAGTGAGGTAGTCTAGTGATGGCAAGAAGTCGGCAAGCAGGTCAAAGTCAGTGTAGTGAGGTGGGAACTCATCACCGAAGCAGTCGACAGTGTAGGAGAAGGGACACTTGAACACGCTACTGATGCTGACGATCGACTCGTCGGTCTCTGGGGCCAGCGTTGCTAGAACTGCCGGCCCTGGCTTCTTGGTCCTTGATGCAGGTGTTGGCGGCATTGTGAGGGCGGGAATCAAAGAAAGCACGGAGGTCGGGCCGTCGCTGCCATGTGGGAGTGTCGAACTAGTAGGACCTGTGTCCCAACGGAGGAAGTATATTTTACTATGTTTCTCTTTAGAGATGTCCCTTATGCATAGACAAAGAGTTAACTGTGCTATAAAGAGTATATGCTTGTGTAAACTCTAACATGTTAAGTGGAAATAACTTAGGAATCTTTCTCTCTAGATTATTACCTAGAATACCTATATTACATTTATGAGCATCTATCTCTGTCTCTGAATTTTCATATATATATATATATACCTTTCAGTTTACCCCTATTTAGAGCAAGTGTTTAGTTAGTGATTTCCATCATAAGTATAAATTGTCAATCTTTCCCTCGCCATCATTCCTCCCTGTGGTAAAATATAAATAACGATACCTGGAATACTCTCAGTGAAATGCTACAATGGTGATCTGTGTGCTTGCATAATTCTTATATTTTAATTTGCACTCATAAATACCAACAGTTAGCAATTCTTATTCTCCGGGCTAAGAAAAGTGCAATGGAAAAATCAGAGGAGTTGTTCCGCATCTAGTCGATGACGGTCTTTCAATCCTGCAATATTCATGCGAATGACACAATTTTGTTTGTGGACCATGACATACCGCAGGCCAGGGAGCTAAAGCTTGTACTTAGTGCGTTTGAGCAACTATTAGGACTGAAAATTAATTTTCACAAAAGTGAAAGTCTTCTGCTATGGCAAAGCAAAAGATTGTTAACAGGAGTATGCCCACCTGTTTGATGCCGCCTCAGAAGTTTCCCCTTCCGGTATCTAGGCATCCCAACGAATCATACAAAATCATCAAATAAAGATTTGGCTTGCATTGAGGAGAAATTCTAGAAAAAGCTTTGTAGTTGGAAAGGTAAATTGCTTTTAATCGGGGGACGACTTGTCCTCATTAATTCAATGCTAACTAGCTTAGCCATGTTTATGTTATCTTTTTTGAAGTCCCTAGGGGAGTTCTTCAGAAAGTGGATTATTATGGTTCACGCTTTTTCTGGCAATGTGACCGAACACAAAAAAATACCGACATGTCAAGTGGAATATTCTTTGCACACCAAAAGATTTTGGTGGCATTGGAATTCTTAACCTTGACCTTCAAAATAGATGTCTATTGAGCAAGTGGCTGTTTAGGCTCATAAATGACGGGGTTTGGCAAGACCTTCTAAGAAGGAAATACTTGTCTAACAAACCACTAACCCAAGTACAACATAGGCCAAGGGATTCACATTTCTAGAGCGGACTCATGAAGACTAAAGATGGTTTCTTATCCTGTGGCACCTTTATAGTGCAAAACGGGGAACAAGTACGATTCTGGAAAGATGTGTGAGGTTAGGTGATAAACCTTTAGTGAGGTCTATCCTAGCTTATTTTGAATTGTGAGGCACAAGGATGATACTGTGGCAAACATCCTTTGGTCTGTACCACTTAACGTGTCTTTTAGACCTGGCTTGGTTAATATAAACAGGATGGCTTGGCTCGACCTAGTGTCAAAAGTAGTACAAGTCCATCTCACAGATGACAAAGAATCTCACTAAGAAAGGCTTGTTCACAGACCGATCCATGTACTCAATTTATATCCAAGAGGGTGTTCCCTCAGACAAAAGTCCTCTTTGAAAATTAAAGATACCACTAAAAATTAAGATTTTCCTATGATATTTCAAAAAAGGGGCCAAGAGGAATTGGCAAGGGAGTGTCAAAAATTGTCTTTGTAGTTCAGTTGAAACTATTCAACATTTGTTTTTTTACTGCTACCTTGCACGCTTTGTTTGGAATACTGTGCATATCACATATGGAATTCAACCTCCTACTAGTTTCGCCAATCTGTACATGGTTTAAGCCTAAAACTTAGAAACCAAATTTTGTTGGCAGCCGTTGCGCTATGTTGGTCGATTTGGTTAAATAGAAATGATATGGTATTTAACAAAGCTGAACCTAATACATCAATGCAGGTAATTTTCAGGATGATGTATTGGATACGACAGTGGTCCATGCTGCACAAGGAGAAGGAGAGACCAATGTTCTTTGAGGGGTGCAGAATATGGGAGCGTTGATCATGTCCGTCTTCACGAAGTTCGGCTGGAACTTCATGAATTGTTTTGAAGCCTAGTGTTTTGATAAGTTCGTTGTGCCCACTAGTTTGGACGAACTTTGTTTCTTTTCCCTAGACTTGTAAGCCTTATGGCATTGTTGTTTTTAACTATCAGCTGTGTACAGTCCACGGATGGTAGAGGCTGCAACTTTGTTCTATTATCTAAAAAAAATGTTAGTACTTTCAGCTGGCCAATCAGTTAGCAGACTTGCAAGACACAGTATGAGAGGCACCACATTTACATGTTCCTTCTTGCTGCAGTAGAAGGAAATTCTGAGTGAGCCCTTGATGCCATCCCACCTGACAATATGGCAGCAGAAATTGGCATTAGTCAAAAGATAAAGCTTCTGAGCTTACAACAACGTCCTGACTACTACTGAGCATAGCCTAGCACATTAGTCAAAAGTTATAGGTCCAGAGCATGCAAAAATGTTCTGACCATAACCTAGCACCAAACTCTGGAAACAAAAAAGGATAAATGAGTAAAGACATATATGGAATACGTACTATTTATTTTTCTTGATGTACATGTCCAAGCCGGAGGGCAGCAGGACCTTCCAATCAGAACTTGCACTTGACAGAGTTATGCAAGCTTTTCTTGCCCTACTAGATCAAATACTAAACAGTCATTTCTCCTTTCCTCACAGAGATTTCCCTCAGACCATACCCTTTGATATATTGCCATAAATCACTAAGCCTTACCCATAGAAAAAGACATAAGGAATCTGGGATAGATTTAACACAAACGAAAATCAGAGTTTGATGTGGATTGTTATGTAATACCTAATATTAAATACTCGATAATCTATACCATCTCTAGTGATGTCAATGTGAAGTACAAATATTTACGCTTGAACTCCAATTTTGAGGATAGAAAAGACTGGTCATACTCAGGGGTCTAGTAATTAAATAATATGAACAAGACATGTGATGACCATAGAACAAAAATGCCTGAGTACATGTTTACATATGCAATTGACTGTGACCCCATAAATAGATTTGTATCACCATTGCAGTTTAAAATGCTATAGAAATGAAATTCAGCAGCTGTTAGTCATCAAATATAGTACTCCTTATAGGTGGAAATTTTTCTCAAAGGTCAATGCAACTGTAAAATGGAGGTCCTCCATTATCAAAGCAGCGTGTGTACCCATCGACTCACTCCAGGTTCTACGGCTGCTTATTCAATTCACAAGGGCAGTCAGGACGTGATGGTGCAAGAAATTCATTAATCTTTAGAGTTGTTGATAATCTTAACCAAAATAAGTCAATTGAGTGAGGAAATGTCTGTTTGTACTGGTGCTCCCTACCTATTTCATCTCCTCTACATTGATTTGACCTCTCATATTATTGTAAAACCTGCAACAAATTCCGACTGACATGCAAGGTCTGACCTCAACCGAATTCAAGTTTTGAACAAAGGGTATCCAAGTTTATCCCACAAATCAACACTCACAGGATTTGCAAACTTCACAGACAGTGAGCACCTGAGCTGTGATTACCCTTCACCATGCAAGGGCATTGAAGATCCCATGGTGCAAACTTCTTGAATTAAACGGTCCATACATCGGAGATGCAGAAGCGCCCCCCCTCCCTCTATTACGAGGAGCTACTCCACAGCACAGAGACAATCTCAACAGTAATTTGGTACCTATATCCAAATCAAGTAAATGCAACAATAGTATGTTTATCCTGAAGCAGAGGAAGGATCTTAATTTTTAGCAGAATATTTCATGCGACATATTCACCTATAATCAGCCCAAAATAGCTTTATATGGCAAATGGAGATTATCATAATATCAGTGGGGCATTTTCCATTTACAAGTCATTTTCCTACCGGAATATTCAGCAAGATTACAGCACAAATCCTCATGATAATAATAATGGCATATTCTTTGTGACTTAGAAATGTTCACATTTGGAAAATCATCTCATTGCTGGAGGCACAGCTTGATGTAAAAATATTTATAAAAGAGCAACAAAATTCAAGAAACATACTGTTGCAGGCCCACAGGATCATTTAACCAATAAATTGACTTATAAACTGTAAACAAATATATAGTTAATTATTCTGAATCCCTATGTAATTAAATTAACAAATGAAGCAGAAAATTAGTGGAGTCCTCTCCAAGGAAATTTCCAGGTTCTTCAAACCTCTCAATCAAATCGTACCTGCTGAAGCAATGAAAATTTCCAAGCTCTTTACCTCACAATTGGACAGTTTCTGAAGCAACAAGTTCGACAGTAATTTTTGTAAATTGTTGGTAAAATGTTAACTTCACATCCTTGGTGACATGGTTTAGGTTCATTACGATTTCATCCAACCCTTATATATGGAGAGTATGAACATACTTTATTTTTTATAAGCAAAAGCAGAATGGAGTTATACGTTCAGTTCTGCAACCAGATATTAACACTTGTTCATTCAGCTAGATTCTGGCAAACCATGTGCAGACAATGCTTCTACTGCTTTCTCAAATGTAAGCACTTTAAAATTGCTGCAGGATCAAGGGTCCGTAAAGACTGTTATAAGTAGTAGCACAAAGACACAGGATGTGTAACATAAAGATATTGATCTGCTTCCTTGCTTGAGTAGCTAGCCGTGTTCCATCAGGATGTGTGCAATTTACAAGTACTAGCACCGGTATGAGAACTTGGAACTAATTTTCAGAGCTGAATGTGCAATTCACGAGTACCGGGACCTGGATGATGAACCCAACAAAAGTTTAAGGATGGCCAGTGAAATTTACTCTACTAAAAATTTGTAGATACCCATGCATAGAATATAATGTAGTAGAGCAGCATATCATAAACGATATTAGATAAATATGCACGATTTTTTTTCTAGTCGAAATAACTATCA